GTTTAGGGTTAGGTTTAGGATTAGGTTTAGGGGGGTTAGGTTTAGATTTAGGGGTTAATTTTAGGTTTAGGGTTAGGTTTAGGATTAGGTTTAGGGGGGTTAGGTTTAGATTTAGGGGTTAATTTTAGGTTTAGGGTTAGGTTTAGGATTAGGTTTAGGGGGGTTAGGTTTAGATTTAGGGGTTAATTTTAGGTTTAGGGTTTACAGCGTGCTTCTGTCTCCGTGCTATTGTCACCCTCTTGATGACGTCAGCTACGCGGTTTCGTCGAGCGCAGTTTAGCCGAGCGCGGTTTTGTGGTGAAACCAATGAAAATATTACAATTATTGGCTGTGTTCAAATAATAGAGCTACAGTAACTGGGTCATTCTTTCCTGACATCAAGGTGTTTTTTTTGTAATCTCTATACAGAGCCTGTAGGATTTGGACAGCATATAATTCTATTGTTATTTCGGTTGGTTGCAAATCAGTCAATTGTTTAGACTGGATTTAGCATTTTTATCCACTTATCAAGTCCTCCCAAGGACTTGGGATAGGCAGATGCTGTTTGATGGTGTTAAAGGTTCACCACAGGATGTGAGCTGTTCCAAATAGAGTTGCCTTTTGCAACTGACTGTTGGCAATTTTGTCAACGTTGATGGTGTTCAAATGGTTCTCCAGATATTTTGAAATTGCGCCCAAGATCTCTATTATATTGATACTATATTTGCCTTTTTTGCCATGTTCATTCTACTACTATTTGCAGGTCTGAAATTTCTTATCTTTTCTTGTTCTTTTCTCTTCTATTCTGCTGTCTCCAGGTATTGCAATGTTCCACTCTACAGGGTTTTTTTTTGTCTTTCTTATGGACAATTATTAAGTCTGGGGTGTTATGTCACAAGTGCTTCTCTGTTTGAATTCTAAAGTTCCAAAGCACTTTAACGTCCTCATTTTCTATTGATTTGCTAATTTTGTGGCCCCCACCCGTTCTTGCTTGCTGGTCTGAAGCAGCAAAATAAAAAGAATGCCCTCAATGGGATGGAATACAAATGACACAACAAGAACCTTTCTGTCTTTTAATAATGGAAAAACCAAAGATGGAACAAAGGAATAGGGGAGGAGAATCTCACTGGAATTGCTCTTAATGATTTCTGAGCTGAACCTAACAGATCTATATATCATGTCTTCTGTATGGTCCAATTTTATCTAATTTTCCTTAGGAATTTCCATCAGTTATGACCCCCATTATCACTCTTCTGTGTTCTTCACTATCATCCTGTGAACTAACTGCCAGGATAAAAACGATAACTTACCTAGATCTGTTTTGTCTCTTTCCATCGTGTGTCTGTTGGATTTATTCTGCACCAAAAATACAGAAAAATACAATAAAAACGAAGTCACAAATCTAGAAAAAGGCCCCACTTGGAGGTTGCTTCTATGTGATTCATTAACTTTGCATAATGTACACATTTTAAGTTACAGTCATTTGGTAACAATGGCTTGTAGGCTTTTCTTTTTCTCTATTCTTGCCTGGTGACATGTAATATTTAAAACTACTCATACAGAGGAAAAGACTACAGATAGAATGAAGGCAAATCTCCATCATAGAAATGAACTGTAAATAAGGGTTCGTGTCCTTTCCAGAATGGAGGTGAAGATGCAGCTATGGGACAAGTTGAACTCCTCTGCCAGTCATTACAAAAATAATGCCATTATATCAAATCCCATCATCCTTTTATCAATTTAAGGTTGATAAAACATGTATTGTGTCAGCCTGCCTTCCAATCCAGCAAGTGCTTTTCCTAGACATCTTTAGAAATGCAGTGATGAAGTTGCTGGTGAAAATGGCCAATTTATTATATTGTCTTCAACTAGTGTTTTTTTTTTTAAAAAAATATTATTTCATGGTTTGCCAAATCAACACTAGTGGTCTGATTAACACACTGTGCTAAGCCACAATCTGCCATAACGGCTAATGTGTAAACCAGGCCCATCTGTCTTTCCACCCTGAATTCAACATTAATTTCCCAATTTTTTAAAACTTGTCACAAATTTAAATTTAAACTTTCTTTTTTTTACCTTTTTTGCAGTAAATCCGGAGTCACCTTTAAACAGAAAAAAAAAACCAGTATTACAATTGTTACAGGGAATATTAAATCTTGCAATTAATATGATGGAACAGAGCTGATGAGCCACCAGCAGTAAAGAAGGGAAGGAAGAAAATTGGTATTACGCAAGACGAGGAAAATCTACTAAAACAAATTAGGGATCAAAGTCAAATGCATATAAAAAGGCAATATAACCTCCTAATAGAAATGGATTCTGAAACAGAATTAGTTAAAGACTGTATGATAAAGTGGGCACAACATTTTGAAGAACCAATAACGATGGGTACATGGGAAAAGATATGGGTAAGAAATGTAAAATTTACGCAAGCCCAAAATTTGTTTTAGTAGATTTTCNGAATAGGTGCGAACCGGCTGAATCCCACCACTGGACTAAGCCCAACATTGGTCAGGAATCGGAGGATTTGCGTCATGCCGCTCTGCACTCTAACAACTTGCGAAAACTTTTCTGAAAGCTATCGTCCAGGAAGGCATACAGGAAAGGATTCAAGCACGAATTGGCATAGCTCAGGCTGGTGATGAAATAGGAGATGCCGATGACTGCGGGGGTCTGGGGCAAGTCGGTGGTCAAAGCCACGATGGTGGCCAGGTGGAAGGGCGTCCAGCAGAAGAGGCACACCGCCAACACGACGAAGACCATAATGGTGACTTTCTTTTTCGCTTTGTCCAAAGCTTTGGCGTTGGAGTTCAAGCTCATGTTCCGCAGATTGTACAACATCATGGCGTAAAGGACACAGATGGTGGACACCGGAATGGCGAAGCCCAACAAGAGCGTGTAGATCCTGCTGGCTTTGAACCAGGACCTTTCCGGCTTGGGGAAGTTGAGCCCGCAACTGGTGATGTTCAAGTCATCCTTGTAGACGTTGGCAAAGATGAAGAACGGAAAGACGATCAGGGTGACCAGCACCCAGACGCAGATGCTGATGAGACGGGCCGCCCGGTAGGTACGGTACGGCATCCTCTTCGACCGGACAGTGGACAGCACCACCAAGTACCGGTCGATGCTCATGACGGTCAGGAAATAAATGCTGGAGAAGATGTTGTAGTGGTCGATGGAGAGGATGACCTTGCAGAGGGCCTCGCCGAAGGGCCAGTAGTGCAGCAGATGTTCGGCGATGTTGATGGGCAAGACCAAGGTGAAGAGGTCGTCGGCGATGGCTAAGTTCAGGATGAACATGTTGGTGACCGTCTTCATTTTGGGGGCCTTCAGGATCACGTAGATGACCGCCGTATTCCCCGTCAGACCCACCGCACAGATAACTGAGTAGATAATCGGGAGGACCACGTAGAAATCTGGGGACTGGAACTCCTGGGAGGTGAGGTTGAGCGCCGTAGCATTCTCACGGCAGCAGGCATTGTCCGGTCCAAGGCTGGTGGCGTTGGTGCCCAGCTCTCTCTCCTCCAAAGCGTTTGCCATGTCTGGACCTTCAGCGGAGAGCTTGTCCTTCAGAGAATGTGACCCGCGAGGAAAGACTCAGTCATTTTCCGGAAAGGGCTGTAAAAAGTCCTTCTTAAACTTTGCGGGTCAGTTCCAGTGAAGCAAAACAACCACAGGGCAGGCGACTGGAGCAAAGGAGGGGGAGGAGGCAAAAACAATTGCCAAGGTTACAAAGGCAAGAGTTGCTGGGAAAGGATCTAATTGGCGGCTTTAAAAACAATTGCGGCTTGCAAAGGAAGTTGGTTAACTGCTTGGACGGTGCTTGCTGCCTCAACGCTCTCATAGCCCCCTCTCCGCATTCAGAAAGACGCAAGGAGGCATCTCCCTACCCCTCACCTCAATTGGGTCCCATAACAAAGACTGAAGCAGCTTTGTACTCCAGAAGAGAACAGAAGGAAGGACTCTCCGGAGCGAATGCAGCCGTTTCCTTAAAACCCTGCAGGGAAAAAAGAGAGGGAGGGAGGGAGGGAGGAAGGGAGAGAGACAATGAAAATCAGACACACCGTTTAACCTCCCTGCAGGGTACAATACCCACCCAACCACCCCAAAACCCACCTACCCCCACATGTCATGTGCTCTATCTATTTGATCATCTGGGACAAAAAAAAAATATCCCTAAATCTTTTGCAATCAACCCCATCCCAGTAGAATCGGGAAGCAAAGGTTTAAGATGAACAGAGTGCCAAAGTGGAAAAGAGAGAGGGGGGGGGAGAAGGAGAGAGGGAGAAAGAGATGAAGGGGGAGAGAGAAAGAAAGAGGGAGAGAAAGAGAGGGAGAGTGGGAGAAAGAAAGAAAGAAAGAAAGAGGGAACAAGGGGGGAGAGAGGGACAGGGAGAGGTGGGAGAGAGAAAGAAAGAGGGAGAGAAAGAGAGGGAGAGTGGGAGAAAGAAAGAAAGAGGGAACAAGAGGGGAGAGAGGGACAGGGAGAGGTGGGAGGCGGGAGAGAGAGGATGGAGAGAAAGAGAGAGGGAGAAAGAAAGGGAGAGAGAAAGAAAGAGGGAGAGAAAGAGAGGGAGAGTGGGAGAAAGAAA